GTTCAATTCCCACTCGCGACCAATAATCTCGTGACAAATATCTTAACCGATAATGGGCCTCCCCTAGGTTGACTCGGCTGTAAATGAGTTCCTGGACTGATGTATAAACATCAGCACTGGGGGAGGTGGTAGGGTGTGCTGCTGATTCCGGCCATTAGATTACGTTAATGACACAGAAGAAAAATAAACCAATCATTTTAAATCAAACCGCGATCATGATTCGCGACAATTCATTGAATCAAGAGGTAAGTTAATCGTTATACCTCTAATAGTAATAATATGAATAACGATAATATATTTGGGATTGAGTTAGCCGCATTCCCAAAGATTAACCCCCCACCACCCCCCCAATCTGGCACTGTGAACGACCCGTCCACACGTGCAGTGCAAGTCCATGCCCTCTCTACGCGATGTCGCCGTTCTGCGAGGACCCTCGCACCGTCGGGCTTTTCGGCTTTTCGCGGCACGTGCGCAGGGCTCGCGCGAGCAAGCGCCTGTCTCTCCGCGTGTTTGGCTCTCCGAGCGTCAGTGATCCGCTTAAGTGAGGGGGGGCCTGGCCTGTCCCGGCTCCGTGTTTGCGCACCGTTTGAAGAATGGAGCCGGTGTTTGTCCACGGCCCGCCCGGCCCATGCTTGGCTCCCGCCGTCTTGGTCCCCTTGTCTGACGAAAGTTCGCGTGGGTGTGTGTGTGTGTGTGTGCGCGCGCGCACATTCTATATGTGTAATGGAAGTGGTTGACTAGTTCAATAAATATTGTGCTTAACGACAGAAATTACCTCCACCCCCCCCCCCACCCACTTCCCACCAGTATGGCAAAATGTCACACCGCATTGCATGTTTGTTGGGAGCGATCGGTGTGGTGGTTCCCGCACCGCGCTACGGACCCGGTCGCCAGATTTGCTTTGACTGCCAACGTCGTAGACTGTGGGGGAGGCAACAGTGGCTAGTTGTGTATGGTCCTGGCCTCACCACGCCTTCGTGTACTGCCCATGCCTTTTAATATGCGCTCCGTGGCATCACTTGGTCCCCACGGCCCATGGGGCTTTAACGATCTCTGTGTTTGTACACGCCAGGGGTTGCAGAGGTTAGGGGGTTGCTGCTGCGCCCTCTCTCAACGCGCCTGACGGGAGAGCGACGGGCGGTGGAGGCAGCGATGGGGCTTGAGCGATGTCGGCAGGTTATCGGACTGCGCATCACGCGCTGCATAAACAGACGCCTCGCATCAAGATAGACGGCAGCGAGGGCGAACAATGCGCCATTCAAAAAATCATCGCTATCGCCCGCGGCAATCGTCCACGGCTACCTTGCCAAGTAGTGTATTGACGGTGTGGCGCTGAGGACAAAAAATCTCGGCGGAAAGAAAAGAACACAATGTATTGTTTTTATACAGCATAGGGTGTTTTTTTTTCTTCTCTTTTCTCCTTTGGGCAGCATTCCATATAGTGAAAGGATGGTGCAGTAGAAACGCGCGCTGAAGAGTTGAAGGTGCAGCGCCCGCAAATTGCGGGCTTACGCCACCGCTGGCGGGATGGCCTTCACTAGAACGAGCTCTCGAGAGAGGGTCTCTTGAACGCACGAGAGGGAGCTCTAAGAGGGTATTTGGCCAGACATCTCGGAAGAGGTGTGTGTGTGTGCGGGGGGAGTAGAGTGCAGGGAGTAGCCGCGCTTAACTGTCAGCGATGACATCAAGGGAATCGAGGAGCGCACGTAAGATTATTGCAAATTCTAAAAGTGTGTTTATTTGACTCTAGCCCCCACGTATCGGCTGCGATTTTTGCTCGTGGTAGATAAGTGGGCCAAGTACTACCGCCCCCTCTCCCCCCGCCGCCCATGAACCAGTTTGCAGCAATACGAACAGTTCAATTCCTGCACGTGTCCAGTGATCTGCTGTAAGCGCTACGTTACCAACGCGTGTAAACTCGCTTGGTGTGTGCTGAAGACCCCCCTCGGATTAATCTTCAAGAGCAATTCGTTGCGCTCTAAATGCCTGCATCACTTTTTTTATTCTGTAAAAATCACATTTCTCACCCTCCTCCTACTACTCTGTAATCAAATATGAACTCAAAGTTTCCCATCGTTTATTTTTATTTTATTTCCTCCCCAGGTTTCACGTGTTTTTGCTAATGGCGAAATGAATCGTGCTTTCCAAGTAGGTGTTTTTACAAGCGGTGTATAAGTTGAGAAGAGTCACTTTGCTTGCACGATATTATAATGTACTACCAGGTTGTTATATCTCGAGCCATGTGTGAATGCCGCGTACATTTGTACGTGGCATTATGTGAGTGCCCCTATGTCTGTAAATTGTGTGCGGGTGCCATGGGTATTGTAAGTGTGTATACAGGATGTGCGTTTAAAAGATCACGTGAGATAGCATTATAGAAGTGAGGGCACGAACCAATATTATGTCCGTACGTAATATAAGTTTCAGACCTTTGTCTAGCCACTGCTGGATGGAGGCCTCTCTCCACGCATTTCGCTCGTGCGAGTTGGTGAGGACAAGGACCCATTTTGGATGTCACTCGCCGCTGACGTTAGTCGTGCACGGGAATCCGCTTCAGGTGGCCGGATCCAAAGCGCATTGCGGTAACCTCTATTGCCGCTGCCTCGCTCTACACCCACCGCACGTTGCTGCGCATTTATACGTGCCGTTTGCAGGACACGAATGGTTGCCCGTTGACGCAAATCAAACGGCGAACGTTGCAAAAAACTGCCTGCGGTAATTGTGAACCCCACACTTCTCCCCTGTAACAAAAAACGCGTCGCGGCAGCAGAACGTGAGCGTGTGTTGGCGTCGACGCCGGCAATCAATGAGGGGTCGCCGTGGGCTAACTCCGTGACCGAAGCTGGGCAGCCAGGACATCTCGGATTGTAAAAATGAAGCCGCCCAAGAGAGTGCTGCGTATGCAGGAGGTCCTGGGTTCGATCCTGACTTTGACGCCTGCTGTATATTAACATCTTAACACCTGGTTTGTTGCCAGGAAAAAGGGGAAAACCTATTCCGTAACATAAAACAAGTTGAGTTTAGTCTTATTAAAAAAATTCAATATCAAAGGTGAAATCTCTAAAAGCAGCATGTGCCTGAAAAAGAGTCTTGACACCAAGTGCAACATTTAAAGGGCCAGCAGAGCGACAGACAAAGCGACAGACAGAGCGACAGACAGACATAGAGATAGACAGACAGACACAGAGAGACAGACACAGAGAGAGACAGACACAGAGAGAGAGAGACAGACAGACAGATGTACGTCAGTACCGCGCGTAGTGGGTTGTGCCATCCCGGGCAGCACCTGCGGGCCGTGCCGAGCAGGCACCAACATCACAAACCACTCTCTCGGGGCTGCCCCCTTCCGCTGATGGACCTGGAGTACCCAGTGGACAAGCGCTGAATGAACTTAATGTCGCATTCCCGTCATCTGGAACGCATTTGACGGCGAGTGGAGGTGACATGAAAAGCACTCTAATGGGCAGGAGGTCGCTTTACAGGTCTGCTTCTGTCACGGGGTTTCTGTGACGGTAAGCTAATGTAGATGAAAACAGCGGAGATGGTTTTTTTTTAACAAGAGAGAATGTGGAAGGGGGGGGGGGGGGAAACGGTACCTCTAAAAAGCCACGAAAACAAGCATCTGCCTTTATTTGAAATCGATTAACTTGCGGATTTCTACATTACTGTCATTCGAAGTGCGTAGCAATGCAATAATGCCAGCCATCTATATGATTCTTGGAGTGTTTTTAAGGAAATTACGTCTAAATTTGATAACCGTGTAACTGTTGAACGTTACTATACATTACATACACATTTTTCTGGAAAATACTGTGCACGCTTATATTTTCTCTTCTGTACACACAGTATGTGTGTGCAAGACTGTGTGTTTGTAGCATGTGTTAGTGTGCAAACGACTAATTTCAATGAGAACAAAATATAAATGTAAATACATATATTTTTTTACCCAAATAGTAGAGTTTCATCAAAGTTAATGTTCAACAGTTTCAGTGTAGCATTTCACGGTGAAATGCTACACAGGTGGAAAATATTTTACGAAACTAAATGGAGCGTAGAGCAGATGCTCCTCGCCGCTAATTGTAGATGTACGCAAGCCGAACTGGAGCTGTTTAAGTGGCTGCATGATTCAAGCCATAGCCATTTAAAAAAAAACTAATAATAATAATAGTTAAGAATAAGCAGGTGATGGGAGTTTTTGCGCTGAGCCCATCTCGCTTGGACGGCCGTGGAAGAGGGGGGGGGGTGCGGTGAATTTTCTGCCCGCTTTCCCGGACTTCGCGTAGGCCAGAATGTGCAATAAAAATTACATTTAAAAAAAAATAACAGAGAACATATTTTTTCTTCTTGGTTCTTTCGGTAAAGTCACGTGACTTTACCGAAAGAACCAAGAAGATGAATCCCTGCAGTCACGAAAGCTTTAAATCGTAAAGAGAACATATTCCTTGTTTCACATTATCGGTTGGTATGTTCGAGCAACAAAAATTGGAGGGTGTCATCTTTTTCGTTCAATGTTCTTGGAACTTCTTGTCGGCCTTTGTCGCCGATGACCGCGGCTCAGAGGTCGCAAACGGGTTTTGATTCCTTACCCGTGCCCGGCCGCACCAGGGTCGCAAACGGGTACCCGTACCCGTAACCTACCTGATACCCGGCCGGGTATCGGGTAGGGTACGGGTACGAGTACCCGATTGCGACCTCTGGGATGAAGCCATGTTGCAGGCGTGGGTGGGTTGATTCTAGGAACTTGAATTGTGAGAAGAGACAAGACGTTGGGAAATGAGTGACAAACAGTTACTCACCAGTGACTCACGGCCTACCCGTACCCGTACCCGGCCGCACTAGGGTTGCAAACGGCTACCCGTACCCGGCCGGGTACGGGTAGCCGGGTATCGGGTAGGGTACGGGTATCGGGTACCCGGTTGCGACCTCTGCCGCGGCTCGCTCACTTGGAAAATCTCGCGGTTTTGGGAAAACGCGCGCCTGTGTGGGTTGAGGATTCGCACCTGAGACCAACCGGGAGTGGTGCTGCTGCTGCGGCAAGCTCCTCCGAAACGCCGTGGCCTCTGGGGAGATGTGTGGGCAAGAACAGTCGTTGTTGTGGGGCGGAGGGGTTTAACCATAGCCCAAACAGTTGCTTATACTCGTGCTGTTATCGTTTATTTTGTAATTGTGCACGGCAATCTTTACGTGAAAACACACCCACTCAAGAGATATGCGCGGAATGTGGAGAAAAAAACGTGTGAACCCTGAGTTGCACTCGGATTCCATCATATTTAGTTTGGATGCAAAAGGTAAAACATAAACATCATTGCGAAACTGCATTTGTAACAACCTCTGATAAATAACCAGGTATCTGTGTTACAATAACAGGTTAAATAAAAAACAACAACAGCAGCAGCGCCTTTTACTGTCGCTGATAAGAAAGGAAGATCCTGATGTTATGCGCGCAGTATTTAGGCTAGCTAGCCTTCAGGGGCATTTGCTAAGAAGGCAAATCTGCCCGAAACGTTGAGTTATTTAACGTGTAAGTTCACTCGTGCAACAATAACTGTGTATCTGTGTTCCCTTTGAAGATGGCAGATTATGTGTTCACCCGTTGTGTGTCTATGTACGGCCCATTTGTCAATGCAATGTTGGATGAGGGGCCCTCTCCCCGTGTCATGCGAGTGATCGGGATTATTTGACTGTACTTCACGGGGGTCAGCACAGGTTGGTGAAAGGCCGGGAGCATAGGTGTTCGAGCGTAGTGTAGTACAACGATGGATTGTGCTGAGCTGCCCTCCGCTGGTGGTGGTGGTTGCCCATACAAAGTCTATCCAGGCTCAAAAACCTGCTTAGCTTTGGAGATCTGAAATCACGCACACTTGCAGTGATATTTAACTTTTCCGTGAAACTCAGTCATCCTTTGCCGAATTACTCTTTACAGATACCGTATCAAAAAATATAATAATTCCGAAAATAAACAACTATATGTTTTGTAGCAACTGCCTCCTATGTTTTTGCCTGAAGCTGTAACCTGCGTAATATGTGTACATAAACGTACATTTACTTTAGCACAGAGGTGACGTGGACACGCAGCAAGCGCATTCGCTGCTTGTTGCACAGGGTTCACGGTTTGAATCCAACGGCCGCCCTGGTTAATGCTGTGGTTGCAGTAACCATGACAATATATATATTACGCACCGTTTGCTTCACAGTGGACATTAAAGATCCCCCGAGCGTCATTCGTAAGAGTAGTCCATTGTGTACCGGCGTCAGGGTCCAAATACGTCAAAATAAAAAAATGTCCTGCAATATCATCATCGTCACGATCCATGGGCAATATCGGCCGTAGGTGTCCACTGCACATTTCGTCATTTGGTTTCCACTTTCCTCTCTGTCTTGTGCCGAAATGCTCAAGTAGTGCCACGTCTTTCTGGCACCAATCTCTTGTGATGTCGTCATCAAGCCGTTCTCTCTGTGAGGTCTTCCTCTCTAAAAAGTTCATTCCTGCAATGTACTCGATTGCAATTCTACCTCGCAATCGTCGCCCGCTACTGGCAGACTGATGCCGCAGGTCACCCTTGAAAATGAGACCGTATCCCTGGCCTCGTGAGTTTTCACCTGGTCGAACAAAAAAAACCTCGCAGAGTTTTAAATACCAAAACGTGAAGGTACGCACTATTTTGCTCGTGTCTCTTCAATGGGAGGATTTGGGTGTCGTAAAAGTCGAGTGGGAGGGACGTTCCACAACCCATGCTGCCTGGCTGCCTTGTTTAACATTATCAGCCGGTATGTTTGACTGCAATTGGCATCGATGTGGATGCAGTGGATAAAAGTGTGCTCCCGCCGATTTAATAATAAAACAAACACTGCCTCGTTACGGAAACACGATAAGCTGAAGTTTCAGGAAGTGACTTCTTGCAATCATGAAAAAATGTGATCGCAAATTCAAAGGGGATTCAGAATGTTAAATGGCATTATGGGTATTTGGTCTTGCCTTTATATATATAACAAAAAGTTTAATTCGAGACAACAAAGGCTCTCGTGCGGATTCACATTTCATTATCAACAGAAAGAACATTACATTCGAGTGAGTCATACTTTGTTATTAACCCTTAGTCTTGGACTAAGCACAATGAATGTGCATTGCATTCTAGTGTGCGTGCGTGCGTGAGTGTTCATGCGCAAAATGTATTATCAAAGAAAGTCCCATGCCTGCTGAATGGTTGCACAATTCAAGGGTAACACTTTGTGTGTGTTCTCTCTCTCTATCTCTCTGTGTCTTCACAGTGCTGCCAGCGTATCTCTCCTGCCGGACTTGGATTCCACACCCACGCACACTCGCAGGTACCGAGACGCCTTTTAAGCTGTTCACAAAACCCACAAAGACAACGGTCGCCCGTATAGCCCCGAACAGGCTGTTGGGGAAAGTGCTTTTCGCGGGTACCTATGTAGGCCGGCACGGCACGCGAGGCGGCGGGTCGGTGGCCAGCGCCATGCCCGGCCACTTTTGCCTCGCCAGTGCCAATGTTTACACACCGCACCAGGCACTGTACTCATTTAAGGCCGAGTCAACCAAGGAGAGGCCCAGGACCGGTCACATTCGCCACTGTGATTGAACGTGAGTGGGAACGGATTGAACTTGGGTAGCTGTGTTTATAGCGCAGTGCTCTAACCACTACACTACTGCTCCCTACAATACTTACACATGTGCCGACACACATTTACACACACATTTACAAAGAAAAAGACCTCCCTTATAGATATATAGGCTGTCAGGGAAAGTGCTTTTTGTAAGCACCTATGTGCATAGACAAAGATAAAGATCCCCTGTATAGCCTTAACAGACTGTAGGAGCAAGTGCTTTTTAGCGAGCACAGATGAAGGCCGGCACGGCACATGAGGGGATGGGTGGCCAAAACCACGCCTGGCCGCACCAGCTACGCATTTGAGGCTGAGTCGACCTAGGGAAGGCCCAGGACCGGTTCAAATAATCGTCATTGGTGCTTGCCGTGAGGGACTCGAACCTGGGCTGCTGGGTTTGTAGCGCGGCGTGCTAACCGCTCTACATAGACACGCACACACTCAAATACACACGTGCACACGCACAAAATGAACACAGACAATTTCATGCACACATCCATATATGTACACACTGCCACACACGCACATGAATGCACACACACAATCGCGCATGCACGTGTTTGTTTTTTTCGGTAAAGTCACGTAGGTAAAAAAAAAAATGTAATCACGACGTTTCGGGCGCAACACACGCTCGTGTGTGCACATGCATGTGCGTTCATGCCAAGATACACAACACACATGCGTGAGCACGCGCACACAGACACAAGAGCAGCCACGTGCAAGCCAATGTCATCTTGGGACAATGCACTCTACTCTCTGCCCACTCGTGCACAAAAAAATACAAAGATTCCCTAATGTAGACGATGCAGTGGAGTTGGTGGGGGCAGGTGCTGTTGGCAGGCACCTATAAAGGCTGGTAATCCGTACAAGGTGCACAGCACCTATTATGCCTGCCCACTTTCATCTCACCATTGCAGGCACTAAATGTATTGCCAGGTGCTTATTTTGCAAGCAGTGTGACACAATAAATTGTGGTGAAATACACTACGTAACCACGATATGATTGTGTCATGGACATAAACACACACACAAACGGAGACATGCACACAAGCACAACAACATACGCCATTGACTAAGTGGCTGCCTGTACCAGGCTAGGTGCACTCGTAGGTCACATGAAGTGTGGAAGGCTCGCTGCCAGGTCACAGGACAGACCCAGGTGTTATGGGTTTACTGATTGAGACGGCTGGAAGCTTGCACTCGCTGTGCTCCCAGCTATGCCAGTTGGGGCAGTGGGTTGACACGCACACTCGCATGTACACACATGCCCGTATGGATAGACGTGCATGTGCTACAAACATATATTGAAACTGTGAATGCATATACACACAGCAGAAACCATTGCAGCAGTAGTAATGCACACATTAGGAATGATTGTTAGATGTATTGCCAGCCGTGCAGTGCGTGTGTGTGTGTACGTGTTAAACCGACGCGAGTCATTCTGACCTGATATAACTGGCAGGGATAAATCTCAGGTATGTGCACACAAACACAAAGATCCTCTGTATAGCCGCAACAGACTGTTTGAGCAAGTGCTGTTAGCGAGCACCTATTAAGGCCGACACGGTTCACGAGGTGGTGGGTGGCGAGCACCACACCCGGCCGCCTTTGTCTCCTCGGTGGCGATATTTACACACTCCACTAAATAACAATTTGAGGCTGAGTCGACCTAGGGGAGGCCGATTCAGATAATCGTCACTGATATATTGGTAGTGAGCGGGAATCGAACTCTGGTCGCCGGGTTTGTAGCGCAGTGCGCTAAGCGCTGCGCCACCGCTCCCCACACAGACACACACACATGCATACACACACCACACTGAAGCCATTCTTCTCATGGACTGAGTTGAGAGCGATGCACAGCATGAAGGCATGTCTTGTGTGCACACACCTTTCAATAAAGTGGCTGTGGTGCTGATAAAGGCTGACGGTACAGCTTTTGCCATCTCTACTGCTAAAAACTCATTAAAGTCCTCATGCCACAATGCGCCTTTTCACGAGGCCGGTGTCGGCACCCACGTTGGTCCCATCAACTTCTGCGAGCAAAGTCGAATAGCACCACTCTGCTGTAGAACAGACTCTACTAAAGGGTAGAATGTCTCAATAACAGGCAGCCCCTGGGTGTTGTGATGACCCAACATCCTCATTTTATCTGCCAGAGCTGCATTACCAGTAGAAAGCATTTACTTGGATTTTGTATAGTTTCTAAATATATTTACTACTATAATGAGCCAAGAATGTCCGTGTGTCCCGTGCGTGACATCACTCCACGACCGGCCAGCCCCCCTCATGAATAATCATGAACCGGTGACTTCCTTTCCACATGGATCAACCCCCCCTTATTAATAATCATGAGCGGGTGATGTTACTCCACATGTAGCAACCCACCCTCATTAATTATCATGAGCAGGTGACGTCACTCCACATCGAACAGCCCCCTTCATTAATAATCATGAAGAGGTGACGTCTTCCAAATGGACACCCCCCCCATTAATAATTATGAGCGAGTGACGTCACTCCACATGGGGGGGGGGGGGGGTGAGGCGCCTCCTCACCCCTCCTCAGCATCAACTTACAACCCTCACTACAAAGGCAGAACCCTCACGTCACGCGATCTCCGTAGCGCTGTTGAGACATAGAAGTAAAAAGGATGTCATGATGAACAAAGGATTATAACCTTAAAATGAAATAGGTCTGTGTCACCGCGGCCTTACAAATGTCACACGAATGGATGCAAGGAATATCACGTCGCGGTCTGATTTTCACTTGCAAGTTTCAGATTTACTGAAATACACCCATCGTCCTTGGACGGGCAAAAGGCTAATATTCTAATATTTTACCAGCGGATGTGTCGCGTCACTAGGCCCGATGGTGTCTTTTACACACATTTTTGCGCCCTCTTATTTCTACGCCAAAATCAGCGAACGCAGCTCCGAGTTTCCACAGTGCAAAGCACAGTGCAGAATTTGAAGTCCTGACCTTGTGATCGTGACCCCGCACGCGCGAGAGCCATTGCCTCATCCACTCGGACTTAAATGACATAATAAGAACACCAAATATTCATCCTAAATTAATCGCGTGTGAAGAAGCATACTGGGGAGTTGAGAGTCCTGCTGGTGAGTGGGGCCTGTCGTCACGTTACGGTTGCCACCTCTGAGATGCAACAAACTGGGACATATCAATTGAATAAGAATATCTCACAATACCAGTCGAGGGGAGAACTATATTTCGATGCATTGTCTTGAGAGGTGTATTAATGCCCAGCCGACAAAAATCCAGGACTTTTAATATCCCAGGAAGACCTACGTAATTTATAGGACAGGTGACAACCCTCAGACGCTTTGAAGCGACTGCACCAGCTAGGGTTGCCACCTGTCCTGGTTTTCCCAGGACATCCTCTCGTGGAGGTAGCTGTCCTGGGAAGTGTGTAAGTCTTCCCGGGACGTTAGAAGTCCCGGATTTTGTCAGTTGGATGTTAACGGAGCACATCATTTGGTGATCCTGCATTGGCACAAATAATAATAATAACTCAACACTTTTCTCAATTAACACTGCCTTAAAAGGAAACGTGTATAAAAGGTGACATTTCAGGCAATGGTTCTTCTTCCATCATAGTGAGATATTCTGCTACCTATGATTTTCCCTGAGGTGCTCGTTTTAGTTTTGTACCTCCTGGATGTGGCAAACCGGAGCACTGCCATTAAAAACTCGATCGCCAAAAAAATGTCTCGAAGTTGAATTCTTGCTCTCAAATGAGCACTGGGACCAGTGCTCATCTCGTGTCTGCAGCAGCCATTGAGAAAGTGGTAGACATTCTACATTCCTATAGAAGAGGTGGGGGGGGGGGGTGGAGTGGTGATTCTCACCATTGGACACCCTCTGTTTTATTTTGATTTAAAGCTTTCGTGACTGCAGGGATTCATCTTCTTGGTTCTTTCGGTAAAGTCACGTAGAAGGGAAATAATAAAATAATAAAAATAAAACATAATAAAAGAATATTGTAATATAATAAAATAACATGTAAACGGCTGCTTGCGTTGTGGCCGAAACGTCGTGAGAATTATTTTATTATGTTCTATTTTTATTATTTCCCTTCTACGTTACTTTACCGAAAGAACCAAGAAAATGAATCTCTGTTTTGCTTTTTTTTATACTTCACCCCCCCCCCCATAAAGCGAGTTTTTTAGAAGCTGTAGTGGCAGTGGAGTTTCACCGTGCCGGTGACACGGGGAGTTCCGTGCAGCAGCAGCAGCAGCAAAAAAACCAGCTGAGTGGCTGGCAGGGAACGTGGCCGTCGCTGGGGTCAGCTGGCATGCCTCCTCCGCTCTTTAAGTGCTTGTGTAACTCCGTCCCCAATCGGAATTTACTTTTACTCTTTGTGCCGTGAAATCAGCCGTGCTGGCAGCGTGCAAACGAGCAGCCACAACCACCTTACTCAGTCTTGGCAACAAGAAAAAAAAACATCTTGACAGAATGTAATGGAGGTAGGAATAATAAATACATTAAAAGCGTTGGATCATTGTTAGTTGATTTAGGATGTTTGGCACAGTTGTAGGATTCTCTCTCTCTCTGCATGTGTATGCTGCTAAGTGGACTCATGGCTCTCTTAGTCCCAGTCATTTGCACTCTATGAAAGCAGCTTGCAAAAGCAAGACTGGGTATGAGATCTTAATGAGAAACCTTCACGGAAGATCTTTAATTACGTA